TACCTGGCTTGCCTGAGAATAGGAAAATAGGTAATGACATATTATGCAATCAAACAAAGAGCCTTTGTTTCGTCACTTTGAGCCACGTGTCTGGCTTTATCGATAAGTGATAGCAATAATTCTGCATACCTATATTATATATTTTTACCAACTTGAAATGAAACAAATATTTTACTCTTTCAATCAAATCATTTTCTTTCAATTAAATTTCATAATTGTTGTACAACTCTAATCAAAATACATGCTGACATCGTATATTGAAAAATATAGGTATTTCACATATCATAGTATTAAAAATATTTTTATTTTTATCCGATTACATGTCTTCTTTATTGCTATTTCATTCCATTTACTTCTTCAGTGATAATTGAAATTACTTTTATATTTTTACTATGGGAAACACTATTGCATGAACTAAATTGTCACTAGGTGAACATGAACAAACTGTTTATGAATTCACTAACAGTGATAAATGAATTTACCAATCAGAATTCAATGTGATCTTAATTTTTCTTCTAATTGTGCAATTCGAATCATCTGAGTATTTTCACCCTAGAAATCGTTTTCGAATTGTTATCACTGAAACAGCGTTCAAATGAAAAATATGAGCTGAAGTGAAAAAAATTAAGCTACTGGTATGGTTTCGATTGGCAACAGAAATATTTGAATGACAGAACGGTACATGAGAGTTCAAAAACCAAAATACATGAGTCAATGGAAATATAAAGTTGGAATCAACAATACCTAATAATGTTCAATATGTTTCATAGCAGTGATCTACGATTTTCTTCAATTTCAGTTTGTCGAAATATTTCGGGTGGTGCGGTCCTGATAGTGGATTTAACTTGGACTGGTAATGAATTGGCAAGAGCATTATCGAGAGATAAAGGACTATTCTACGTGCGAATCGACCTCTCAATTAGCCCATTTCTTGATATCCTTAGAAAATATATGGAAATGAGGAATGCCACTGATGTGACTATCATATTGGGAGATTCAACATGTAAGTAAATTCTTATGTAATGAAATTGGCATTTTCAAGTAACATTCGGCTGCAGACAGATGTCAGTCGTAATCTATCATTTGTCATCTGCTATTTGTCAAATCGAGTAACGCCGACTTCGAAAAAACTGAAAATTATATATGAAGCATGTTGAGAAAAAATATAATTTGAAAATTTGATTATCAACATAATTTTAGGTCTTATGCAAACATATGCACTTCTGTCATGAAAAAATCAAGTCGCGGAGGACATTTCTGATCCGCCAAAACTGAACCACTTCCGATGGTCCGATTTCGCTAAAAATGGTATCATAGTGGTATCAATAAACATATTCGATCATTTTCCAAAATCAAAAGAGCCCTATAATCTATGAGTATAAATTATTGCTCACCGATATTCTCAAATTTCCAAATATTGTCAGATTCACATTCACTAAGTTTCTCAATCCCGAAATTTTTAGTCGGTGTTGTTGATATGTGATTACAATCGTTCAATTGATGTCGCACAAAAGTCCGCTCATTACCAAAGTACAATGAATAACCAACACAAAAATACTTGGGATGATACCAATCTTGATAAATCTTTAATCTAACAATACTAACTATTACTAGAATTATCTGTTATATTCAGCAGATTCACGTGACTGTTTCGAATAATGTAACGGACCTACACCTCCATATTCAATTCAACCATTCATGAAACTGTTTTCCTAACTATGATCATCGATAGAGCAAACATTAGTGACCTCAAATTCTGGATTATCAGCTGGAAAATCCATACCTGCTACATTCAATACGTTAAGGAAGTGACGGTATGATGAAATCTCACATATTTCCACATTGGCAGGTTACAAAGCTGAAGTGACAGCCCACGCAAATCCTGATCGACAACATTCACAATCTTTTTTTTCAACTCAATGGATTTGGGCAAATTGATGTAAGAAAAACATTCAAGGGGGCTAAACTTATTGACATTCATTCGCATATACAGGGTGTTACTAAATGAGTGTAAAACATTCAAGAAGGTGATTCCTCATCGAANTTGCGTAAAGAATTCGTCCTTCAGTTGGAAGTAGCAGTTTCGTACACAGCATCCTAGTAATTCCATGATTAATTGTATCAGTAAGTTCGTTCTATCTTTCAGGTTCTGCTCTTTGACTTCGATTTCCCCTAGTAGTTCAACAAAATGCCTTGAATTTTTCACAAAAAATGATGTTTTTCCTTGCAGTGGTTCAATTATTGGTAGTAAAAATCTGGACAAATTCTGAGTGGCTGAATCTCTGGAGCTGAGTGTTCCGCTCAGACCGATTATAGCTCCAGAGATTCAGCCATCAACATAATATCAAGTAGGCTCAGACTGAAATCATCCACAAGGAGGAACACTAGTTTAGGAGAAAATTTAAAGAAGCCGGATATATGTTGTCCAACAAGCATTTATTCAAGCTAGCGTAGAGATACATAACATACGGAAACCTCTAAACAAGCGGAACACGACCAACTCCTGCCAAACAGTCACCTCCAGCTAAAAACCAATGAAGCGGGGAGAGGGAAGAGGGGATATGTGAAAGAAGTTGAATGATCTATAAATAGTCAGATCTCGAAGGAATAAGTCCAGTTATCATCCGAAGACGATTGTGGATACTAACAATCGAAACGTCGTGAAATAACTTGGTTTGGAATTTTTTAATTTTCAATTTTCATTTCTTGCTAATATTTTTTTAATTTTCAGCTCGTGTTAATAGTTATTTTTTTTTTGATATTTTGGTTGTTGCTTGTATGTTTTTCCATTGTAAATTCAGTTTTTTGCCTGATATAATGGCTATTTTTCAGCTAATCCCTTTAATTTTTCACATATTCTTTCACGGATTTCAAATCAATTTATGTCATATTAGACTAATTAAATGCACCACGAAACATTGTCAACCACATTCAACCAAACATACCTGAATCTCGATCTTGAAATTTCATCGCTGAGGCAGTTCAACCATCAACAAAAGTGTTATAAATTACATTCAAATCTGTAATAGAACTGACCGATACTTGATGAATATTCATTATGACGTATTTAAAAACACACTTGATTGTGACGCCCGAAAATTATTTTGGTCGTTACTCCATGAGAAACTTCTTCCACATTTACTACACATCTCACTAAACATCTTGTATATAATATCACACCATTAGGAGTAAAATTTGTTATGACTAAAACATTCACACCACTCTCCTTATAAAAGCACAACCTCCACCATTCTAACCCAAGGTGAAGCTACGAGGTTTCATTCAAGAATACCATTCAAGATCATATGATGTGGTTCAAACTCAAGGTCACATATAAATGGCAGAGTCGATCGTCAAGGACATACTCCGGTCTCAACGGCATATGGCCTGTATACGGCTCAAGGTCATGTGACATCATTCAAGGTTAAGGTCAATTGGTGAAAGTGGTTTCAGAACCGTCATTAAAAACCTACACTTATACCTGAGAATCAATACATTTTCTGAAAACTTCAGTTTCTCTAAAAGAACTGCTTCATTGATTAAAGGAACGTATCGCTTGCACATTCAATATCATTTGGAGAACATGAAGAGTTAGACATATGTCGCATTCTTTTTCTTGGAAAGATTATGTATTTCGTGTTTTCAGACACTGACCAAACACTTTATCATCTGATGAATAATGGAGAGTTACTTTTGTCAGTAACAGAAACATTGGATGCTTCTGCTATGAAAAAATTGAAGAAATTTCGTCCAATACCCAGTACTTTCGCTATAATTGCCAATTCAAAGGATATGCAGAAACTACTGAAAGTGGTGAGTATCCATCAGAAATGTATATTGGTAATATAATCTCATATTCTAGCATTCAACCAACTCATGAATGAAAAAAATAATGGAACAATAATTTTGTATTCTGCAACAGATTTATCACTTTCGAATGAGGGATTTAGTTGTTCGCGAGTATTATTCTTATTTTCTATTATCAATGAAATAAGTATCAATCGTACTGAACATATTCAAAAAATGTTGGATATGCCAATGCTGCCCAGAAAGTTAAAATAATACGTTGCAACGTTGAAAAAATGCAATAACTAACTTCCTACATATGAGAATCTGGTGGAATGTTACCTGACAACATTAATCTCACGCTTGAATAATGAAAAAGCATCGCCTAGAAGCTTTTTAGGATCTTTATGAGTTAAATTGATGATTACCCCCGTTGTTACTTCACGATTGAAAACATTGTTAACAGTTTGCCACTTTACCCTGGTGCTTCGTCGTTTCAAACCCGAGCCTATATACTTATGATGCACTGTTTGGAACCTTTGGTGTAGTAATGAATATTACTGGAGTTTTTCCCAACACCAAATCGTTATATTTAACACTTCGACACGTGTTTCGATCACCAAGTGATCATCTTCAAAGAGGAAGATCAAAACTGAAGATCATCTTCAAAGAGGAAGATTAAAACTGAAGATGATCACTTGGTGATCAAAACACGTGTCGAGGTGTTAAAAATAACGATTTGGTGTTGGGAAAAAACTAAACTAAACTAGAAAAATTCAACATTTTGATAATCACTTTGAAGCGTTTCAATTCCCCAATTTTTGTTATTATTTTCTTTTTTTCCCCAACCGAAAATTTATTTTTTTTCATACGCATTTTCTTATATGTTCATTAATAAATTGTATAGCTTGTTTGGCAATATACTCTGAATAATTGTCTCTAATGACTGAAAGGTAATTATCAATTACCGACTTGGTTTTTGGAAAATCAATCATTTGGATTTTATTTATTGACATGACTCACCGATATTTTGTTCAGAAATGAAATTTTTGGTGTGATGAGTAGGTTCTGGAAGCTGCAGAGAATTGAATCTTGTTCTATGGAAACTGTTGAGATGGTTCTGGAAAAGGTTGCTGGGATGATTTTGGATGTAGTTGTTGAGATGACTCTGAAGTTATACTGCACACGTTGATGTAGCGTTCTGAAATAAATGCAATCTTCAATACAAACATACACCAAAGAAAAATAAAATTCAAGAGTGGGGGTAGTGTCTTTCGTGGAGTGATTGTGAAAAATGAGCGAGCTACAGTTAGCTGATGTCGAGTCGAGTGAACAACGTCTGTGTGAACCGCTCTCGAAAATACTGAATTCTACTGTTGTTTGTGAATCCAAAATCTTGGGATTTTCATCAATCTGTACCTGGATATTAGTGCATCCTGCCTTATCGGGGTGAGCAACTTTCTTATCTAGACGCTGAATAAGTGCTAATATAACGATTACTTCCTATATTGAAATCTCACACCAATCTTCAACAAAAAAATAAAAAAACGTTTTGCAAGAAACGGCAAATAAACGATCACTTCTGATAAGCTAAGGCTTGTATTAGCACTGGAGCTAGAACAAAAACTGGTGTAAACAATGACCAATACTTCTGAACTTTCCTTGACTGCTATTTACAATCTATTGAAGAATCTAGACGAGAAATTTGATAAATCACAAATTACGCTTGCCGAGATCAAATCCGAATTACTAGGTGTCAACGATAAAATATTACTACTCGAAGAAGAAAATGATACTTTGAAGAAAGTCGTACAGTCGCAGGATCGCAAACTTCGGCGGAATAACTTGTTGGTTTTTGGTATCGAAAAAGAAGACAATGGTGAAGCCCTTTCTCTCCTAAGTCATATTCTTGAAGTACCTATCGAATTTGCTGNTTCATTCCTTTAATTTTTATTTATTCAATTATTATATTTTTACTTGTAGGTTATTTCACTATCATTTCATTTCAGGTTTATTGTTGCTTAATATAATTGTTATTTTCAACTATTCTTTTTTAATTATTCTTTTTCACTTGTTTCAAGGATTTCAAATCATTTTATATAGTAGACAATGGAAGTCCGAACTAGTGAAATTCAGTGATAGGTATTGTTTGATTTTTAATGTTATATGTATTTCATTCATAAATATGATTTCAATAATGGAAAAACAAATTTGAATGATGAAAGAAAATATATTGTTCATTATAGAAATCTACAGCAAGCCATCAAAAATGGTTTGATTGAAATGAATACACATAGAGTATTGAAATTCAAACAATCACGTTGGATGGAACCGTATATAGATCTTGATACTGAAATGCGTAATAGGTCTAACAACAAATCTGTTAAAGAGATCTATAAACTAATGAATAATGCGGTATACGGAAAGACAATGGAAAATGTAGATAACAGAATTGATCTTGGACTCGTTACATATTGGGAAAATATAAAGAAAAATATAGGTGCCAGCACTCTCATATTCAGACCAAATGTCAAAAAATGTTCAATTTTTACAGAAAATTTCGTTGCCATTCAAATGGGTAAAGTCAAATTCCATTATGATGAACCATTATATTTGGGATTTTCTATATTAGAATCATCTAAAACAGTCATGTATGACTTTTTCTACATCCATATAAGCCCTATGGATCACTGCTATTCAATAATTCAGATGACATCAGAATCAATAATCAAAATGTTATACTAGATATTGCTGAGAGCTTCATTTACATAGAAGGTAAATTCACCCCCAAAGACGAAGCGAAAACATGATATCTCTCAAATAATGCAATTGCATTTCTTTTTGATGAAATTCGTTACGAAATGGGTGGTGAACAAGTGGCTGTTGTTAGAAAACCCGGAATAACATCTACAATGAAAACCATGATATCATTTGGACAATCACATGCTAACACATTATTGACATCTGGCTGGAGACTTTCACGATTAAAACAAGATATCTTGGATACAAACAGTCATGTTTTTAGTGGAAAACTACCACTGGGTTTTGATGGGTTTTGCTGAAGAATAAAACAAAAGTATCTTGAATGCTAAACAGGAGTTGATTTTGATCAACGCTCGATATATAGGTGAGGTTGATGCTAATTTAGAAATAACTGAAATTGAATGGAAAATAAGACATATTGTAACAGATGATAAACACAAGCTCAAACTTTTGAGTAGAATGAATAAAAACGGTCTGAATGCCAAAATCAAGTTGGCTTATCGTATGTGGGACCTCTATGAACTACCATCATTACGTGGGACTTCTTCAGACATATGGGCCATCAAAACAACTAACGCATTGGAAACTCCTCGTTTTGTCATCATCGCATTCCAAAGTACTACCACATCTGAAGATAGAACACAAGATATTACAAAATTCACAACTGCTGATATCAATAGTATTCGAGTATACTTGAATTCTGAAGTTTATCCATATGAGCGTTGGAATTTGAATTTCGATAAAAAACTTGATGCTCCTGCTTATTATGCTTTTGAGAGTTTCCAGCGAAGTTATTATGATAAAGATATGAGTGAACCTCTGATGGACATTGGACAATTTAGAGAGAATCCACTATTCGTCATCGATTNAGTATTCAACCTCCTATACAATCGAATTACTGATTTTATTTTAAGTCTACTTCTGAAACGGACATGATGAAAATATGTATGAAAATATAAACAATTTCCAACAGACAAATACACTCACCGTCTTCCTTCTATTACGAACTGAATAACACTCTACTAATTGCTAACTGCTGCAGATATATTCGTCTACTGATTTCATAGTGTTCCAGGCATTTCTTTTATGTTGAACAGTGCGAGTTCCCCGCACCATGAAACCGTGAAAGGTTCACATTGCTAGTTGCTACCGACTAGAAATGCCTGACGTCACAGCCAAGCCCACCTACCAGCTGGATATGTTAACAGATATCGATACGAACAGACAGTGGTCGTTGCGCTCTCGTAGAGGGCGACGTTAACACAGTCCTCACCGACTGCGCGTCACCACTGACAGCGAGGCTAGATCGATGCGTTACGTCACAGTCTTCACCGCATCGAGAGAGGTGATAGCACACCGATGAATACGCATTACTCAGCCACACGCTGTGGAGTGAACATCTCGCTGTCTTACCGTTGAACGGTTGCTGCTGTGACGTTACACCACTTCTAACTTGGTGGGCTCACATCGATGGAACATTCATTACTTGAAGGGTCTTCGAGGTATGCAGACGTATGTTTGTACGTAAACAAGCACATGATGAAACCCTGTACCGTGCATTCTCTCACACACACACCAACCAAATGTAATTACGTCATTATGTCATACACACACACACACACAAAATCTCATATGAAAAAAATTCTGAGCGATCCATGCACCAGACACTTCAAGGTCACATCGCCTTGACTTCACTAAACAACAAAAAAAAAGCAATCAATATGTCATAGTGGTGGAGGGAGGCCCAGTACCGGCTGTAATCTGCTACTGCCTCACACTGAAGAAATTTTTTTTCGAAACAAATACTTTTATATGAACACTGAATTATACAGAAAACACTTACCTCTATTCAGTTTGTATTTCAAACATTCGTTATAAAATTAAATCAGATATCATTCACAGGGTTCCTACACAATATACTAAATGAAAGGTGAAAATTTCACTTAAATAAGTGAATGATATCAGATTTAATTTCATAACGAATATTTGGAATACAAACTGAGTAGAGGAGAGTTCTCTCTATAATTCAGTGTTCATATAAAAGTATTTGTTTCGAAAGTATTTTTCTTTCATGTAATTCGAAGTTTATATGAAGGAAGCTGGTTTAGAAACGCTTTTTCTTCCAGATTTGTGTCTGATAATTACTACTTTGCATGATCTAGTCATCTATGTATAAAGTTATTTCTTTTAAAATTGATTACTTCCTTCCTTTCTTTGGAAGATTCCCACATTTTTCTGTATCAAGATGGAGTAGTAGAAAGCCA